TTAATAACTTGTTTATATATGATAGTATTTGTGTTAACTTACATTATTTATTGTCGCATATGGTATTAAGTCTTCCCAATCCAACAGACGTTTCCTCTTCCAGGAAATAGCCCTAGGAATATCATCTGAGGATTTTAATGCATATGTCCGCATGCTGGGGAAAACCTCAAATATCCAAATCTACAAACAATATAATAACAAACATTAGTAATTGTTAAATAATTAATTATAATTTTGAAAACATTATATAGAAATTCTTACCTTAAAGGCCCAAACAAAGCCTGACAAAGTGTATTTCGACCCATCACCCCGCAAACTTTTGCGGTCATTAAAGGCAGACGACAACTTAGTCCAGGTAGCTTTCCATATATACGAACCCCACGGAAATAGATTCCATGCATTTAGGTCCTCTACCAATAATATTAGCTCCTGAGGAATAGGTTGTCTGGCCTCTCTACCTAAAAAGTCGGCATACAAAAGTAGTAGAAGGCATACTCGGACAACATCGACGTCATTCATCTGAGTAAAACCATCTTTTTTATTAAACAATTTCTTCATGTCGTCGACGTGTAAGTTCGGCTTCTCTATTGACTCATCAGGAAAAACCCTGGATAACAATGATGGGCGGGTGATATGACGAATGTACCGGCCTACATCATCGTGTCCGAATCGTAGACCAATGATTAAGCAGAACTCCTTCCACCCAAAACAAGTATACGCCGGTGGAAAATGAAACCATATCTCTTCCTCACCACGTTGTATACTGTCGGGTAGATCGCTAGTCATGGTCTGAAGCCACAAATGGGTCAAATTAGCATCTCCACCCGGATGCTGTACTCTCAGCCATGGCCCGAAGCAGGTTTCCTCAAACAATTTTCTTTGTGCAGGTGAAAGCTTCGAAGCAATTGTAGTGGCTAGGCTAACTTTATTCCTTAATGTCAATGAAGCCGAAAAAAAATTCTACAAAAACAATAAACATACCAAGTTAGATATACCAAAAACTACACTGTGAAGATATACCAAAAAACAATAAACATATATAGTAGTTTATTCTTGAAACTAAAATTTGCAACACTGTTTTGTCTTTTGGTTGAAATGAAAATCGCAACGCGAAATGAGAATCGCAACGAGATAATCGCAATGCGATTTTCATTTCGCGTCGCGATTATCTCGTTGCGATTTTCATTTCGCGTTGCGATTTTCATTCTCTCGTTGCGATAGTCATTTCTGCATTGCGATTTTCATTATCGAAACTATTCTTCTTCTGCATTACTTCAACCAAAAGACAAAACAAAGACAAATACTAACTTCACAAGGTTAAATACTAAACAGTTTAGCAGTATTGGCAGCAATAGAATGAATTTAATAAGAAATCTAAGTGAAATGGTTAATCTATTATTGAAATTACCAGTAAACTTATAATCAATTTCAATATGAAAAAACCTAATAATAATGCAAAAAATTCAAAAAGAAAATAATTAAAAAAACTAACCCTCGGTGGTTGATTTGGTTGATTTTCCATTTCTGATTGTGAGGGTGGCTCTGAGAGATGGAGATAGACGGATTTCGTCGGAAATGGGGACGAATTTCGTCGGAGATGGGTGAGAGAGTGAGAGATGGAGATGGGACTGAGTTGTGATTTTAGGTTTTAGGTTATGAGTTGCTATTACGGGATATACTGTGAACGGTTCAGTGTTCCAATATATTAATATTTGTGTTTGGAATTTGAAAATAAAATACGGTTTGCAATCCTAATGGCGCTTTGAAAATCGCATTGCGATTATGTATTATCTCGTTGCGAAAGTTAGTATCTAGTCGCGAAAGTAAGTATCGCGTTGCGAAAGTCAGTATCGCATTGCGATTTTGTATTATCGCGTTGCGATAGTCAGTATCGCATTGCGATTTTCCAAATTCGCATTGTGATTTACTTATTCGCATTGCGAATTGGGAAAATCGCAATGCGAAATTGGAAAATCGCAATGCGAAATTGGAAAATCGCATTGCGATAGAAATAATCGCGTTGCGATAGAAATAATCGCGTTGCGAAAATGCAACGCGAATTTGCGATAATGGAGATTGCGTTGCGAATTAGCGATCGCATTGCGATTTTGTTGGTCATTTTGGCAAATCCGGAAAAAATTAGTTAAAATCGTATATTATATGAGATTTTTGGTCACTGAGGTTATTTTCTCATAATTATAAATGAAGCGGTAAAAGAGTTATATATAGATTTATTAGTCAAGTATTAAATTTTCTAATTTCATATGTATGAGATTTTACAATTTTATACTTTTATAAAAATTAATATAAATCTTTAAAAAGAATTATTGAATTATGAAATTATGTGTACGTTTAGGGATGAATATTTGACATGTATTTAATGAGTTCCGACTTGATTTGAATTTAGGTCCGGTCTGAGTTTTTTAAAGGGATAAGGTCGGGTTCGGATTTAAGGTGAAAAAAATTCAACTCAACTCGAGATAATATTATAATTATCCTTTATATATTTATGGATAATTACAATAATATTTTTATGTATTTTTTTTCCTGATTAAATCCTTATTCTACCTAATAAAAATGAATTTATATTTTTATATCAAATCGGATCAAATCGAGTATAACTTTTTACCATAAAAATTGAGTCAAATTTCATATCGAGTGGAATTCTTCTAAATTAGGGTCACTAGATAAAAGGAGTTTAATTTTAAGACCAGATTCGGATAGATAAAAAATTCAATTCGACTAGACCCTACTAATCACCCCTATGTACATTAGAGGACAAAATCCCCAAGACAAGCTTCTTTGATTCTAAGCTGCCTGTTGCTGGGGAAAGGTCTGCAAATACCGCTGCCTGTTGCTGGGGAAAGGTCTGCAAATACCGCTGCCTGTCCCTATAAAATAGAAACCCTAAGGCGGTAGAGTCCTTTCAATTTTCACCCCCACGAGCGAACTGCACATTTAATACTTGTTCTTACAAGATAACTTCGTAGTTGAATCTCCAAATCAGTCAGTCCAAATTATTACTTCTTCTAGCCATTATGTGGTCCTTCAAATGAACATAATTTTTTTTTTTCACAAAAATCTTATGATCGATGTGTAATAAAGAAACCAAAATTGCCGAAATCATCATATAATGGAAAGGGACTGCTACTTAGAACCATTAATGCCTCTGTTATTTGGGATTATTAATAAATGTTGATGATAAAAAATGAATTATTTAAGATAAAACTACTCGTTGATGGGTACAATTATACAGTTATATTATTGGGTAGTGCCAAGTACATGCGCCATCGCTACAAACATTGCCTCCACCCCCACAACTATATTCATTTCATTAGTATGGATGAATATAAAATAATATATATTCAAAGTTTGTTAATTATTTCACATTTAATGTTTATATTTCAGTATATATGTTGCTCGAACACATAACTTCAAATAATAACAATAATTCATTAATCACCAACATCGTTTAGTTTGTGCCACAACTATATTTATAAAACAATTTTAGTTTGTTTATTTAAGTACATTTGAACCCATTAGGTGATCTCAATAGTTAAAAGAAATATTATTCGCCCAGTAGTTGCGTCTGTAGAATGTGTAGGTGTTGTGAATGGTTAAAAAATTCTCAATTGATGCTATCTTATAATCACGTCAGACTATTCAAATAAAAAGTTATTTGTATATTTTTAAAATTTAATCTCAATTTAAATTTATTTGATATTTTATCGGTTAGAATTAGTTGACTTATTTTGAAAATTTTAATGCTTTTTTTTATTTAAGATTATATCTAATATATAATATAGTTTTAGATGAACAAATCATTATTTTATGTTATAAGAACTAATGAAGAAACATATATTGTTGAATGATGGAGAAAGATCAACATATATGGGTAATTCTCTTTATATATAGTTAGTTGGAAAATGTTAATTAAACATAATTTGGTGGGATCATTTAAATAAATAAATAAATTTTAAGTTATTATCACTAATCATGCATGTAATTACTACGATTCTCACTATTTCCTCATGTAATTATTATGATTCTCACTATACATCCCAAATTATAACCCTCATTCTAAATTAGTCTCTAAACTTTTTTTAATTTCATCTCTAAATTATGACTTACATTCTAAATTTATCCTTAAACATTCCAAATTCATCCACAAACTTTGATACTCATTCCAAATTAGTCTCCAAAGGTTTAAATGTTCCAATAATGTTCCCTAAATCATTCAAAACTTTGGGCATGAAATTAAAGAATTCGCAAGTTTAGGGGCAATATAGAATGAAGATCATAGATTGGGATAAATTTTGAATGTTCAAAAGTTTGATGACCAATTCAGAATGAAAGTCATAGATTAAGGATGAAATTAGATTATTCAAAAATTTAGAGACCAGTTTAAAACAAGGATCATAGTTTGAAGGCATATAATATAATTAACGTAATCATTTTCAATTTAAATAGGAATAATTGCTTGATTTATTGCAAAGATAATTATTTATTATAATAATAAATTTAAAGACTTATAATAAAAAAAAATCATTTATTGAATGTTTTTATGATATTTAAATAAAGAAAAGACATCCACATACATCGATTTAAATTAAATCTCTCTATAAAATTTTTATTATTAATATTTTAACAATTCATTAAATTTATTCATATAATTTTTATTTTTTTTAATAATTTAGAATGATTATTGGAGATGAATATTCGATGAGTTGAGTTAAAAAATTTATAATTGGTCAAACTTATAAGTTTTATTTCATATTATAACTCAAACCTTATTTAAATTTTTTTCGAATCGAATTTTACTCACACTTAATTATTATAAGATAGTATAATCACTCGATGAACAATATTTACTTTTACCACTAATATCATTTAATAATCTTTTATTACATTTTAATAATAATAAAAGAAAAACTCCAAGGAACTATGCAACGTTGTTATAAAGTCGGTTCATTTCACCAGTCCGGTGTACAAACAAAAGGAGTCGCCTTTCTTCTGCAACTGTCCTCACTTCCTTTCGAATGCTGTTTTCTTTTCCTTTACTTAAAAAATTCTTGTTTCTAATTCACGAGATTTCTTTGATTTCAAGAGTAGTTTTGGTATTAGAAAATCTCTTTGTTTGTAACCAAGTGGTTTGATTGAGACTGCCTCACTGGATTAGCAGTTGCTGGCTCTGGAATACTCTTATAATCCCCCCACTTCTTCCTTCTGGGTCTTCCTTTATTGTTTTTTTTTTCTCCTTTTTTTCCGTTAATCTTCCCCTCACTTTCCCGAGAAAATGATAGACATGAAGGGAAATCAAAAGTTGGTAAGTATGATCGCTCTGCTTTTCTTAAAAAAAAATTCGTGTAATAACTGTTTAATTGGTTTCTACCATCATCTATCCATCTATTTCCAATATTCTAACATAATTCCTTAAGTTTTTTTCTTCTTATTTTCAAGGTAACCGTTGTCCTGTTCTGATTTTGTCTTTCTCTGACTGTGTCTGGTTGTGTTCTTCATAGGATTTGGCATCTTCCTACGAGGATAGTATGTCGGAAGAGAAGATATCCACTCAAAAGATTTCAGTTTTGGATCATACTAATGGATTCCAATACACAACTACGGACAAATCCGATAGCTTTGTTATCGACATGGAAAGTCTCTCTCATGGAGGATTCAATAAAGAAATCAACCCAAATCCAAGAATTACAGTAAGTTTCTTTTCTAGGATAATTCGAAACATAATGTATTTTGTAATGACACGTGTTTACATCTCAAAAACCCAGTTTCATTCATGTTTGAAAATTCCAATATTATCACAAATATCCTTTTTTTTCTGTTTGGTTGACAAGAAAATTTTGCAGAGAAACCTTTCACGAAAAGGGTCTCAACGAGATAACAAGACTACTGCTCCCAGTCTCAGCTCTTCGCCTAAAGGTACAAACTTTTTTCTTCAGAATTGCATTCTAAATTTTCCCAGAAGAAAATTCCAGAAAAATTAATTAGTTTGGCTTAAATTTTCTGTTTGATGCACTTGTCTTGGATGCGATCTTTTTGCCTGGACTGTTTGAAATTTCAGTGTAAAATACCTGTTAGTATGCATTGATTTTATATCCAAGATTGAGCACTGAATTATTGGTAATTCAACTACCCTGGTAGGGTCTTGTATGCCTGAAAAGCCCACAGTGGTGGTCGCCGGGACCACCAATCCTGCCACCAACCAACAAGTTCATCATCAGATCACCATTACAACCGGCAGTATCGCCGCAGCGACCGAAAGCAGATTTAGTCTGAAGAGAAATAGTTGCAGACGGCCTCCTCCACCATGGCTGATTGATCCCAGGAGGGTTCTCATGTTATTTTCCACATTGTAAGCTTGCAAAGCTAATTATGGTTTTTCACCTGCAAATACATAAACAATTTTCAACAAATTTGATTCAATATATCGGAGTGAATTTTTTCAATTCTTCGACAGGTCGAGCATAGGCACGGTTTTGCTGATATACTTCACCTTGTCGATGAACAAAACGAATGGAGATGAGAGTGGTTTAGATCAGTAGCTGGAAAAGATGACACACCAACACAATGCCTGATTAAAATATGTTGCAGTACAGTATAGGCATGGGAGTTCAATGCTTGACCAATAGAAATGGATGCAAGTGGTTGATTTATTAAACAAATGTCTGCTTTTGATGACCGTTAGCGAAGAACAAAATGAAACAAATTGGGCCTTGGGATGACAAAAGCTAATCAACCTGCCATTAAGATGGTTTCTTAATAAGAAATTTTGGGGATGAAGACAAGGACTTACTCCACTAAGACAAAGAGAAGGAATCTTCGCTTTTAAATTACACATATATATATATGTATGTACTACGTATGGAAGAGATGGAAAATAACATGATATCCTACTGTTTTTTGCTTTTCTTGTTTATCTTCAAAGTTGAAATAGTTGACATGGAGGATCAGAAAGATACCTTTGCTCCCTTACTTTTTCTGACAATCCAACTTTCTAAGTGCTCGTTGTTCTTTGTGGCTTTCATGTGACCGATAGCAATGGTGAGATGATGACTAAGAACCTGGGATGCACAGGCACTAAAATATTTGTATATTTGCATATCAGCATGCGCATTCTCAAGTTTCTTACCTTTTTTGGACCAAAGTTTGGGGTTTGGAGAAATAAAGAAGGGCTACCTTTGTGGCGGTTCTTTTCCAAAGGCTCGTAGGCTGGTTCCACAGCTGTCAATTAGGCCTAGCACTCATCATAGTGCTTTAAGAAAACATGTCCGTACAATTTAGCAAAAGAGAAAATGCTTCATGCGGCAGGCAAATAGGCAATGAATAAAACAGAATGATAAGCAATATGTATGCTATGACCATGAGCAAGCCAAGACTGCAAATTTCAGTCGAGAAAAGCTGCAACATACATGATACATTGTTGAATTCTTTCAGTGCTGTAAGGCCACACCTGATCCGAGAAATCAATCTTTTTTCCAGGGGATATGAAAGAATTTACTGAGAAATAGTATTGCTGAAACTGTTGCTAAATGCTTTATTGAACCTTCAAAACTTTCAAACTCAGTCATTGGCAGCAGATATAAGTATTCGTTTTGAGAAAAGTTTCCAAGCCGTTTTGGGTTCGCAACCCGCCCAGGGGACCCGAGTGTCACAACCCGCCCAGGGGACCCAGGAGGAGAGCGGTGGCAGTGCACGTGAGGAGTTATGCTGATCTGGTTCTTCCTTTCTCTAGAAGGACTTGTGTTCAACATTTGTATCCGACACATGGATACATGAGGAAATAACCTTCAAGGATCCTCCATATGCATGAAAAAACTTTAAAAAAATATTATCATACTCGTGTTAGACATAAACCTGCATACAACAATCACACATGAGTTTGAATAACATAGGCCGGGAGTGCCTAGGACTTGCATGTTTGCTTGGCCAAAAGTAAAACTAAGCTGCAAAGATACACATCAATTCTAAAATCAATGATGACCAATATTAAGAACAACATTCTCATTTACCACTGAGGCTAATCTTTTTCACTGGTTTTTAGGCTGAGCAAATGTTTGAATAAAGCAGCCACCCTTGGCCACTTCTTCACTTAATTAGGAATCTCTTACCAGTCTTTCGCAGATTATCTATAGTGTTGTACCATGAATAGATCCCATTTACCTAATGCCATTCACTTTATAAAATAGAAAATCTTTTGATATTCATCAAAACAGTAACAGTCCCTCTCGTCGGCATGAAACATTGTAAACAAAGGAATTCAAGACCAACTGGAAAATACGGATTCATGCTTCGATCTTGGATAAAACCATATACAAGTACAGTACAGACACAAAGGAATTAAATAACAATGATGAATGATTAAAGACAAGTCAGATCAAGCATTCAATGGTTCTGGCGTTAATTTCTTCAACGAAATCAAAGTTGCAGATTATACAATTCGATGATGTAGACCACCTGTAACAAATTGATAGCTGTCACTTTATTAAGAATCTTTTTATGTTCAATTGACACAAAAGAAAACTGTGTTCATACAAACTGCATACGTATATTATATGGCTGTATTGCATCAATATACACTAGTAATTAGTGAAGTTCGTAACCAGTGAAGCGTTGGTACTCTCAAGAAGGAAAACACAAACATATACATCTTAACTATATTTCATTTTCTCTCCCCTGGAATTCACAAACTGAGCTATGAAGTAATGCTCAGTAATTATGAAGCAGCAAAGTCCTCTTACTCCTGCATACCTTAAAAAGCAGATAACTTGCCATTTCATTTCTTCATCAGTAACGTTTTGATATTCGTGGCATTGAACACTTATGCTTGCGGTCATGATAGAGCCTCAATATAACAGCAGCAGTTTCTTCAATCGCTTTACCAGTAACTTCTGCACGGACGAGTAACAGTAGGTTAGCCCAAGATTCATCAGATAAACATGCCAAACATCTTAAACTTTTTAATATCAAATTTTACCATATTTTTTTAGTCCTCTTAAGTTACTAATGGTCTATAAAAATATCTCCATGTCAAAGAATCAAAACAGTTGGGATAATTTTTTTTAAAAAAGAAGCAAATTAATCATCTTTACCGATAACTGGCCAGGTAGGATTTTGAGCAAAAACTCTACGAGCAAACTCCAATTCCTCTTTCACATAATCCATCTCCGAATAGTTACTCCTTGTTTCGTCACCAAAACCCAGACTCCTAGCTCTTGCTTTTCTAATAGTTTGCAAGACAGAGGGATTAATAGTCAAACCAAAAACCTTCTCAGGGTCTACTTCGAAAAGTCCCTTTGGCAATGCCACTCCCTTCACAATAGGGACATTTGCTACTTTATATCCTTTCTGTGCTAGATAAATCGATAATGGTGTCTTCCCAGTACGAGAAACACCTGAGAGAACAATGTCAGCCTTGCATAAGTTTTGAGGTAGAGCTCCGTCATCCTGCTTGATTGTAAATTCAATCGCTTCAATCCGTCGAAAGTATTCATCCGAAAGAGGGAAGGTTCGTCCGGGCGCTCCCCGGGGAAGACCTGAAGGTGAGACACCCAAATGAGCAGCGATGGCCTCTGTAATTGGCCCCAATACATCCGTGGACGGTATACCCCACAATTTGCAAGCTTTCTTGGCAGACTCTGCCATGGAAGGATCAGCTAAAGTATAAACAAGCAATGCACCTTCCTTGGCTGCCTGTTTTATAATCTCTATCAATGGCTCAACATCATCAATCTGAACTTTGCAGATCAAATTATGGTTGAATTAATATAAATGACACTAATTTCCCAACTTTCCAAACATTAAAAAAATACGAGTTTCATCACTAATTACTACTTGTAAATAAAATTGAACTGTGTGTGAAAAAAGAACATACCCCAGAGAATAGATGGGTATTTACAGGACACCCACGGTCCACCAAGCAATGCTCGAACTGCCCTAACGCCGCGTTAACGGAGTTCTCCGCCGTCCATCCAGTTCCATCGGATACGATATAAATTGGCTTCCCCGACGCTGTTTCCTCCACCTCACGATCGCCGTCATATGTCGTTGAAGTGGGTTCAGAAGACAAGGTCTCACTGGTTCGTTGAGCCGAAGGGTTCACCTCAAGCACCATAGTCCGGTTGCTCGGTCGTTCAAGCTTCTGCCCTGACCTTAAGGCTCGTGCACGGTGCCATCTGTTGAGCTGTGGGCTACCCTTGAGTTTCCGAACTTTGGGATCGGGTTCTGGGTCGGAAACATCGGGCTTGGTCGGCGTTGCGGTGGCCCGTAGATTGAAGACGGAACAAGGACACGCAAGCATTTTCTTTTTCTAAAAAAAAAAGAAAGGAAATATGGATTGACTAAATTGGATTTTAAGAATTTGAGATATTTACTCTTATGACGCAGAACAATTAAAAAACAAAAAAATTGTTGTCTGAGCCCGGGTTCGAACGAGAGACCTCTAGTGTGTGAGACTAGCATGATAACCAGCTACACCACCCAGACAGTTGGGACCAAACTTTATTTTAATTGTTCTAATTGTTTAAAATTACATATATTATTATGAGATTTGATAATAATAAGATATAATTTTAAAACTTGTATTCATGTCGAATAATTATTTTAATATTTATTTATAAAAATATATTATATTTTTATCTTTGATTAAAATGATATATTATTTTTATATAAGTCGTTAGTTTTATTTATTATAAAGAATAAATATCTAAAATTATAATGAAGATTTACAACTATATATGTAAATTAAACATATAATTAATATATTTTATTATAACCATTAATACAAAAACTAGTTACTTGAGAACACACAAGGACCCTACAAGAAAAATTTTAAAAACATAACAAAAAAACTCGAATAAAAGATAGATACAAATAAATTTAACTGCATTAATAAATAAACCGCAAATGAAGATAAAGCTACTGAAAAATTACCGATAAACCACAAATCATAGATAAACGACATTTGAAATTATATGTAAGAGATGTGCATCTAGAGTGTAAGATTTTTTTTCTTTCAAGAACAACTTTTTTTTTATTTGGATAAAATCATCTAAAATTACATGTTATTTTAAATGAAAGTTATTAATTTTTTTGATTTGACTCAGAAAAATTAGACTTGACTTATAATTTTATAAATTTGTCTAGACTAAAAAAATCGAGTCAAATAATAAAATAAAATTCAAATAAAACGAAATTCTTAGTAATTAATAGAATGATTTTCTAATTTTGAGTTTAGTCTCTCAACTATGCATAAAATATGTATATTGCATATGAAAAAACATGATATATATATTATGGTTATAGAAATCGTTTAAATATAAACTTGAACATGTCGACTCAAATTTCATAAATTCGACTAGAAATCATTTCAAACAAACAATTATAAAATATGATTATTCAACTTAAATGACTCGAAATTTTTTGACTCGATTTAATTGAATATTTACCCTACATACAAACTCACTTTAAAAAAGTTATAATAGGCGTAGACAATTAAAATTTTAAAGTATTTAATTAATAATAATTTTTATTTGGCTTTAAAATTTGAAATTTAATTTAATCAAAACTATAAATGTATAGGACTAAAAATAGTTATTTTGCATATTTTTATAGTTGTTTGATTAATAATTAATAGAAAATATTGAATAAAGATTTGAAAAGTGGCTGATATTTTCAAGTAAAAACCCTACATAGACTGAATTTTATAAAAAAAAATATAAGAATTGTAATTTCTAAATTCGATTTGAAAGTTTGAATTAACTCAAAATATTATATTGAATCATTGGAATAGGTCGCGATCAGTATAAATCATTAAAAACAAATATCATATTATACGTTACATTTGAAATCAAATCCATTTACTATAATTTATCAAATAATTGAAACTTTCATAAATAATTATAAACTTTAATCAAATGCGGGACTTCGATTTTTAATAATAAAACTCAATATGAAAACGATATCCATACTTGTAAATTAACGTTATATAATGTAAAGAGCTTAGGTACCCATGCCGTTAGAATATATACTATAAACCAAAGTATAAACTATTTTTGGTAAAGTATATAAATAATCTTATGATATAGGATACTATTTTATTAAGTTTTTTATATATTAAAAGTTATAAAATATTTTTTTTTATTGTAAGATATTATTTTATTAAGTATCTCAATTATTAAAAATTATAAAATAGTCACCAAATTATTCATATATTACGAATTCATCCTTCCCAGTTAAAAATTAAAGGTCGTTTGAGCTAAACGTTAATCTGTTGACTAAAATATAAAATTATATTTTAATAATGTCAACTGACACCGTAGTTGCTTTTAATCATTGACATAATATTTTAAACAAAAATATTTTTTAAAATAGCTTGGGTGATTATAAAATAATATTTGTTTAAAATCTTTTTTATAACTATTGACAATATATATATATATATATATATATATATATATATATATATATATATCCAATATATACAAGAATTGTTTGAATAAAATATCTTAAAAAATAACTACTCTTTTAACAACTTAAACAACTCCATAAATTTCTTTTAAAATTCGGTGTTACAGTACAAAAACTTAACACACTAAAAGAGATAAACTCAAAGCAATCATATATTACATACATCACAAGCAATATGCAATTAGTATGACAATATTTTATCATAAAACATACTCGTGGCATAGTATAAAACTAAGATATGAGGAAATACATATAATATGAATAATATTGTTTCTATTCAGGATAAGTTCGAGAATTAGTTCGACATGCTTCTCGTTATAATAAGTAAATACATATATATTATTTTATTTTAAATGATGAATTTATAAAATTTTAAAAATAATGAATTTATAATATTTTAGTATGACAGAAACATATTATCATATAAAATATGAAAATATTTAAAATATATAATGATTTAAAATTTTCAAATGACTTTTGTCTCCGACCACCCTTTCAATAAATCCCTCATTATTATTTTAATCATACGAGTTCATAAGTGTTTATATCACATTGTTAGTATATTTATTCTTTTAAATAGTCTAAGGTGATTATAAGGTAATATTCGTTCATAATATTTATTAACCATTGATAATGCACACATCCACAGGCGTAACTATTTGAACTCAAAATCTATAAGGAAAATAATACTCTATTTAACTAAGATCACTTATTATCTTTACTATTATATATAATCAATTCACGAGACATTAAGCACATATCTAATTCATTAATTTACAATTAATTTAATATACAATCAATCCAAATTCTCCGAACATACACTTATCATACTGTGAAACATTCAATGGTATTTTTTTTAATTGAATGACAGAATTTAAAACATTAATGACTATACTCTCTCATTATATCAAAGGATTAGCATAACAACATCGAAATATGATTTAATAGATAGATTAAAAGTTTAAATTACTTTTAACATAAAAATTTTCAAGAACTTTTATTTATTTAAATAAATAAAACAAAATAAAATAAAATTTTACGTATATAATCCTATAATTTTTAAAACTATTATGATAAAATATAAAAAATTATAAATCATTTAATATCCTTTAACTGAAAACATATATAATGTTAAAACTTAAAGATTTCTAAAATATTTTTATAAAATATATTTTTAAAATTTAAATTTTATAAAATATTTTCGTAAAATATATAATAGTCGATTTCTTGTAAACAAAGTTGTGGTGCTCAACAACCCACCACCCACTACCACCAAGTCACCAACCATCAAATTCATTAATCACTTCCGAAAGAAAGTTGGAATAATTCCAAATATAGCTCCTAGGCTTCGCTTCTTTTGCCACTTTCACCCAGTGAATTGTATTAAAATTAAACAAAATAATATCATTTAATAATAATCAAAATTTATATCTCATTTTGTATGATATAATTACTTAATAATAAATATTATGCACTCATTAAGTGGTTTTAATGATAAAAAATTATTTTTTTAAAGATATTTAGATTTGAGTAACTGTATGTTTATAGAATGTTTTATCAATACTTTTTTTTAATAATTAGTATATTATAATCATCTTAAATTATTAGAAAAAATAAATATTACTTTTAAAATATATTTACAATGTTTGAGATAAAATAATATTTAATAAATTTAGTAAATAAATATTATTAATAGTTAAAATTAAAGTTTTAAAAGATGGACGTATACTTTGGGTAAAAAAAATATTTATGTGCCAGATAAAAACTATCCACTTTTGATTATTTATCTTAATATTTTTTATAATATGTAGTGATTATAAGGTTTTATTTGTTCAGAGTATTTCTTAACTATAGATAACATACACCCCTACAATATACAATTACTCAAATATAAGACTTATAAAAAGGACAACACTCTCTCTAACTACGGAAACCATTTGATGAATTTATATTTTATTTTTATTTATTAAATATCTCATTATATTATATATATGATTAAATCTTAAATGTAATTAGACTAATTGATAATGTTAATTTAACTGATGTTATAACGTTAATAGAAATAAATTAAAAAATTTATAAAAATTATTCACTACCTGATAAATAAGTTCTTATGTACTTACTATTTTTTAATTACAACAAATAATTTTCATTCTTAATTAAACGTATTTAAAAAGTTATTTCACTTTAATTTATAATTATTGAATCTTTTCAACGTGCTATCAATATTTGATTAAAAATGGATCAAAATGTTAAAATAATAACCTTTAGAGACTAAATTTGTCATTATACTAAAAAATAATTCCTGTGGGCGACAACGGCAATGACAAGTTGACAACTAGGGGGCTAGGGGCCCTTTAATTCCAACGGGACGGTTTCCGTCAGGTAACGACGCTCACCGAACACTGTTAAAACGGAAAGACTAACGGCATCGAGTCGCTTTATTCTGTCAATCGTCATTACCCAATCCTACGCCTATTGGTCTTAGTTATCTCACTCTATCTTACGTGTCTAAATGTTATTGGTTGGAGAGGTCAGGAGATTTCCTATAAATTAATCCCTCAATCCCCTTGTTTTCTCACCACAAAAATAATTATATTTTCTCGTTGATTTTCTCTTCAGCCAAACAAGATGCAGATCTTCGTTAAGACCCTGACCGGCAAGACAATCACCCTCGAGGTCGAGAGCTCCGACACCATTGATAACGTCAAGGCGAAGATCCAAGACAAGGAAGGGATCCCTCCAGACCAACAACGTCTCATCTTCGCCGGAAAACAGCTCGAGGACGGCCGTACCTTGGCCGACTACAACATCCAGAAGGAGTCAACCCTCCACCTCGTCCTCCGTCTTCGTGGAGGCATGCAAATCTTCGTGAAAACCCTGACCGGCAAGACAATCACCCTAGAGGTCGAGAGCTCCGACACCATTGACAACGTCAAGGCCAAGATCCAAGACAAGGAAGGGATCCCACCAGACCAGCAGAGGCTCATCTTCGCCGGGAAGCAACTCGAGGACGGCCGCACCTTGGCGGACTACAACATCCAGAAGGAGTCGACCCTCCACCTCGTCCTCCGTCTTCGTGGAGGCATGCAAATCTTCGTGAAAACCCTGACCGGAAAAACCATCACCTTGGAAGTCGAGAGCTCCGACACCATCGACAACGTCAAGGCCAAAATCCAAGACAAGGAAGGTATCCCACCGGACCAGCAGAGGCTCATCTTCGCCGGGAAGCAACTTGAGGACGGTCGAACTTTGGCCGACTACAACATCCAAAAGGAGTCGACCCTTCATTTGGTTTTGAGGCTTCGTGGCGGGATGCAGATCTTCGTCAAGACTTTGACTGGGAAAACCATTACTCTGGAGGTGGAGAGTTCTGATACGATTGATAATGTCAAGGCGAAGATTCAGGACAAAGAAGGGATTCCCCCAGATCAGCAGAGGTTGATTTTTGCTGGGAAACAATTGGAAGATGGAAGGACTTTGGCTGATTACAATATTCAGAAGGAATCAACTCTTCATCTTGTCTTGCGTCTTCGTGGTGGTTTCTAAGCTCTCTATGAATATGGGTTTCTGGAATTTATGTCAATGATTATGATTCCTGGCTCTGTTGAAGCCTTATAAATAAACTTATGTCTTATCTTTAATGATATCTATCTTATATTATGATTTCAAGTAAATAAAAATTCTATATTTACCTAAATTTTGTTGCATCGTCTTCGATTAATCTTCTCTTTTGTTCCTCTCCTGTATGCTTGTGTTGTGTACTGTGATGTTGATTCAGTTCAATTTTTTGCATAGTTTCTAAAAGATATGAGCTTCTGATAGAATCTTTAGCTATTTCTATTAGTTTCTTATAGAATCGAACATCAAAGGATTAAACATTTTCTGGGTTTACCTTTCTTGTTTTGTTCCTATGTTCATCAAACACCCAACTATTGGACTCCTACCAAAATCTTAGTCAGGCCGTTTCAATCATGTTTGTTTTCTCTGATTTGAAGATTCTTCGTTTGGAATTCGATCAATTAGTTGTATTCCTTTTGACATGAAAGATTAACAAGTGAATGTTTAAGCTTCCACCATTAGTTCTTGTATAATCTAGGATAAAAATGCAACTTGTAGTTCCAATGGTCAATATCCTATTTCTTATGTAATCCGCCATAATTCCTCCTTGTAAGCTACCACTTGTCTCTTCTCTAATTATTTTCCTTCAACACAAGAGAAAAATGAAATGTTCCTGGTTCAACGAGGAGATGATTTTTTATTCTCTTGATTTTTATTCTCTTGATGTATCTTGAATCTTGATGTCATTGGACAGCTATCCTATCAACAGTTCAGAAAAATTAATGTGTTACCAGAAGAATCAGATATTCAATCACTTTTTTATTCTTCATTTCATTTATTCATGTAAATTTGTTTCTTCTATTTTTGGGTTGCTTTCTTCCTTTTCCAGCCAATAGAATCACCAAATTTTAGCTAAATGTATCATTAGGAGCTGGATATTGAGAACCCCTTATCTGTGTCAGGTAACAGGTATTCATAGAACTTCCTGTGGTCTAGAGAAATTCTCTCAAAATATAACAACATAAAGTGGCTACATCATTTTCTTTAATTGAAAGCGGCGTCAAACTGCAGAGTTAATAATGAAGTGATCTAGTGTAACAACCCGAAAAAAAATAATAATTTAAATCGATGTAATTTGATGAAATTTGAGGATTAAATTAAAAATTTTCAAAACTTGTAGGCAATATTAAAAGTGAAGGAAATTTAGGGACCAAGTTCTGAATTACTTCTTTTAGTGTCGGCAGGAAATTTGATATATACGTATGTATGATTTTCTGTTTTCAAAACAGAAAACAATTGTGAAATTCCTCCTCCCGCACTCTACTTCAAAGCCTGATTCCAACGCCGTCCGACCTCCGACCGTCAAATTGAAACTACCATCGTGTTCATCTTCGACCCGTGAACAAAACCCAGTAAATCAATTATAGCGAAACGCTGCCAAACGACGTGAATTTCGAGTCAAAGTCTCCCATCGTGTTCCTTGTGTCGTTTCGAGTCCGCCGGTGTCAACCTTGGTCTCCGTCGACGGCTGCGCGTGAGGAGGTGGAGCAGTCAAAGATTCGGCCGAGTTGAAATCGAGCTCTCCATCGTTCAAAAATTTGAACCGATCTTTGTAAGTATCTCGAAATCGCTCAAAATAAATTTTAGAAAATTTTTCGTAATTTTTAGACCCCCGGAGGAGGCCTCACGCACCGCCACAGGGAGAGTGAGTGGCTGAAAACCGGTTTGACCGGTTTCGATCGGTTCGAACAGGGTTGACCGGTCTGACCCGACCCAACCGCCGACCCGACCGTTGACCGTTGACTTCCTTTGACCAAAACTTAAAATGGTTTTGACTGACCATTAAACGACCGTTAATCTTTTCCGAGTATACCTATTCTGATAGTTTTCGACGTCCCGAATCCGTTTCCGAAGTCCGTTTCATCAAATTCGAGCCCGAAGGCCTCCAAATCGACGGTCAAAGTGGTTGACTTTGACTTTGACCAAGAATTTAAATTTTCGAAAAGACATACTTTATGTTTTTCGACATCCTGATTCCGATTCCGCAATCCGTTTGGCCAAAGTCAAACCCGAAATCCTCCAAATTGATAGTCAAACCCTGAAAATACTTATATACTTAAGAATTTTAGTTTTGAACAATTAAGTAAGATTTAGAGCTGATAAATTATTATTATTTGAAGGTACAAGAGACTCTCCGGATCGTTCGACAGCTCGACCCAGCTCTTCTAGATCAATTAAACCACGTGTGCCAGTATTCACCCGTAAAACCCGTAAATTTTATGATTTTAGAGATTTATTTATGTTACCCATAAGTAATATAGTGTTATTATAAAATAGGTTCGAAAACTGTAGCAGAGCGTGGTGAAACTAGCAATCAGTAGATCTACTATTTGAACCTATTATCGAGGTGTGTTCCCTAATTATTACTGAACTGTTTTATTGGTTTTAATATGAGGTACACTGAGTTCTTTGGTTACTGTTTTATTGATGCACCAATTTAATGTGATGATTTATGGAATTTGTGTCACGGTGCAATTGAACTTTTGGATTGAATTACAATAGTATAGCTCTTATCAAGCTAATAAACAGAATGGGCCTAATGTGACTCTTGTGGCCCCAAGATACATTAGGTTGGCTTCCCTTGTTGTGTGCTTAGGGTAAACTATATGGAATTGGACTTACGGGCTTAAGGATATAAGCTATAAAACTTATCCTTAGGTTGACTTTCTTTTTGCTGTGTGCTTAGAGTAAGCTATATGGAAAATAGTTTTGGAAATTACTGATGGTGTACAAGAAAAGAGTTTAAACTATGATTTTCAAAAGTTAAACTCTTTTATGAATTTATGAGATTTACTGGACTATGATTTGTTTAATGTACCTATTGTGATTTTAAGGTAATATTGGGACACACTGAGCCTAGCTCACCTTTCGAAAATGTTTTTCCCCCTTGCAGATACTGTTGGTTAGATACATCGGTTCGAGCACTTGGTGGATTAACATATCTCTTGAAGTATATCTGATTGTAACGTTTTATTTTCCTAGTTGACTTTATTTTGGTGACATGGACCTTATTTTAAAGTATCGTATTTTATGATGATGACACTTTTGCTATTACTATTCGGTTTATTGTGATTTTGATTTTGAAGATCTGTTTTAAATTAATTTATTACTTATTGGTATTATATTTACAAGTTGGGTTTTGATGGTATAATTTATTTCATGACATTTATAATGTGATTTTACATTGATTGAATAACGGTTTCAGAAAATGTCTTTAAGAATCATAATGTGATCCACTAGACTTAGTCGAAACGCATAGGCCGGGTCTAGGGGGTTACATCTACAATAAGGTGTTTAGTGTTCAGGGTTTAAAGTTTATGTCCCATATATCCCTTGCAATAAGCAAGAGGACATTAGAAGGTGCAGAATCAAGCAGAAAAACTCGAGCAGAGAAACTCGATAGTGATCAAGTGTTGGCATCTTCGGTAGGCGATCAGCCACCATATTGCATTCACGTTGGATCCAGATGAACTCCGTAACCCAAGCAAGATTGCGCATAGAGGAAATGGTTTTCACCAGAGGGTGGGGACTAGAGGTTGCATGCAGATCAAGGATTAATTTAACAGCTAAGGCACTATCGGTACTTGTCTAATCCTACTTTCTCTCATATCAAAATCAATCTATCCTCATCAGGTACTTATCTCTTTGAGATTTTACTAGTTTATTTTTCGATGTCAATCTAAAGTCATCAACTATTGTGAAGAACATCCGTGCCCTGTCAATTTTCAGTAGCCTGCTGCATTTGTAGATGGCTTTTCATAATAGATGTTTTATATTTTCCATAGTTAGTAATTTTATGGTGTTTGTAGTGTTGCTTGCCTGCAAGAAAAGGAACCTGGTGATTATAAAATCAGAATAGGATAACGGATCTTTAAAGATACGGATAATTCCCTGGAGAATTAGTAATCCTATTATTGTACAGTAGTAAGGTTGGCCATTGTTGATTGCTTGTGATGATTTTACATGCTTGTATTCGTTTGGGACCCTGTTATAATTGTGCCTCCAGCTTCCGTTTTTGCAGCTTGCTGTGTTGTTAGTTCCTTTCAAGATCCAGCAACCAAGGTTTCATGTCTGATCTTGAAGTCCAAATTGTTGTCACTTTTGGTATATCCATAATAATTGCTTCTCCCATTAATTAGAACTACTCTGGCGAAAATTGATAGGATGTTTAAATGTCGTATCACTTTTGTGCAGATCCATTCACGGATGCCACCGGTGAAAACTCGAATACATACATATATGTATACAACTTATCTCCTTTTGTTGCTTCAATGTCGAGCCTCAACCATTTACGATATTGTGATCACAGGTTATTCAACTTCAAGGTGACCAGAGAAAGAACATGTCGATGTTCCTCGTTCAGGTAACTCTAGCCGACCGTACCCAGTGTAGTTCATACGAGTTCAGCATATGTATCTATATGTACATATGTATTAAAGTGCTAGATTTTCTAAATTTTGGGGTTTTGCAAAACAGGCTGCAATTGCAAAGAAGGAATACATAAAAATTCATGGTTTTTAAGCAGCTGAAAGCAGTGTAGCAGATTGATCTTTGTGTAGTACACCATTGTAGCTAAAACTAACTGCTACAATTACAACTGAACTGATAATATCAGTGTATTTGGTGTTTGTAAATCAACTTGTTCTTGTTTACACTCTCCACCTTGCATTTGGTGGGTAAATATATGCCAGATGTTTGTAATTCTGGAAGATGATACAAAAATTTCTCACTTGATGATCGATCCTAGTCCCAAGGACTTGATGAACACTCGCCGGGCAATTTTAGAAATCGTTCATAATCCTTGTGATAATCATAAATGACAAGGTTTCTCTTAACCCAAGCCTGATCCATATTCTGGGAATGAGATAGATGCCAAGCTTGTTACTGATCCCACCAGTTCATGGCAGTGGTTGGTACGAAGTCCGGGTACGGGTCTTCCCATTGACAACCCTTGATGCCGAAGTCCTTGTAAGAGGACACAAATGGGGCCTTGTTACAGCCTGTTTCTCATGGGCATCTCTGGTTGCCCATTCTCTGAACACATCTGCAACACCCTTAAACTAAATCAATGGAACACAAAAGTACAATGGTAATATATCATGTTAATGTCTATAAAATTTGTCGGGGGAAAAAAAGCATACATAGTAAGCTGTTACAACACCGGCGGATTCACCTTCGACCGGCTTCATTTCCATGCTAAACCAACCGAATCTGTATCTTTGCTTGGTTTGAAACTCGCACCCTATACAAGCACAGACAGAAACAGATTAAGATCATGGTAGATTTGAAGCAAGTTTTAGAACCAGAAACAAATGTTTTCAGGCAATCAAATTGTATTACCAGTTACAACTCCATCTTCATCACCCATAACTTTCTTTTACCACATGCAAGATCATGTCTATGATCATACCGTACATATAGATGAATGTGAAGTAAATCAACAAAAACTATAACTTAATTGATTCATGCAACCAAATCTTTAACATCATTTACGTCTGTGTTTAAATTTCAGAATCGACAAGCCTTTGTAAACAAAAACAAGTTTAACTACAAATTGAAACAATCCTTGTTTTGTTCTACCGTGAGTAATGGGAAGAAGGCAGCAAAAGCAGAGGTCATGTGATCTAAACGAAAAATAAATTTATTTTACAAGAATGGTCATCCCTGACAGTTTGGCCGAGTGGTCTAAGGCGCCAGATTTAGGCTCTGGTCCGAAAGGGCGTGGGTTCAAATCCCACAGCTGTCAGTAAGACTTTTGAAATCTGGTATATTGAGATCAAACGACGTCGTTTTACCCGAACTCAAGGTCAAGGAAGTCAACTAGTCAACGTCTTCTTGTCCAGTCTGAAAACAAACTCAAGCTCTTTCTAGCCAAATCCACAATCCCAAAGCCAAGCAATGGTGATCTCTTCAACCCCCACTTATCTCTTTTTCCTTTCCCTTGTTCTCTTCCTTTCAATTCCCACTGCCGAATCAGAATCGGAATCGGAACTCGTAGCCGATCTCCTCGCCCTTCAGTCCGAATCCAAATCGGGAGTCAGAACTCCATCTCCTCGAACTCCGCCGAGAGTTCGCCCTTGTCGCCTCTTCCTTCATCACCAACCACAACAACTCCAACACTAAACTCTTCTTCGCCGACATCGAGTTCCGCGAATCCCAATCCTCTTTCCACCTCTTCGGCGTCAACTCCCTCCCCCACATCCGCCTCGTCGGCCCCAACGCCAAATCTTTTAAGGATGACTCCGAGCAGATGGACCAGGGCGATTTCTCTCGATTGTCTGAGTCTATGTCCGAGTTCGTCGAGTCGAGAACTAAACTAACCGTGGGTCCCCTCCATCGTCCTCCCATTCTTTCGAAAACGCAAATGGGTCTCATCCTTGTACTTTTGTTGATCTCTACTCCGTTCGTCGCTAAAAACATCTTCGCCGGGCAAACGTTCTTACACGATCCCAAGATTTGGCTTTCCGGCGCCGTTTTTGTTTATTTTTTCAGTGTTTCAGGTGCAATGCATAATATAATTAGGAAAATGCCGATGTTTCTGGTGGATAGGAACGACTCGAATAAAATTATTTTCTTTTACCAAGGATCGGGGATGCAGCTCGGAGCGGAAGGGTTCTCCGTGGGTTTTCTATATACAATTGTGGGATTGTTGCTTGCTTTCGTCACACATTTGCTTGTTTATGTTAAGAACGCGAAAGCCAAGCGTGTGGTGATGCTTTTTGCGATTTTTGTTTCCTTTTGGGCGGTGCAGAAAGTGATTTTCTTGGACAATTGGAAGACTGGATATGAGATTCTTGGATTCTGGCCTACCAGTTGGAGCTAAAGGCAATTTCTTTTTTGTTTCCTATGGTGCTATAATTCGAACTACGGTTTCAATAATTGCAGAATTTAGTTGATAATTTGATATCAATTTTAGATGTTTAGATGTATAACTCTGCGAAAGGTTTTGCTTACAGAACGTTACATTGTTAAAAGCTCACATCTTTCCATGAAAAAAATACATTAGCTATAAGATTTTCTGATGTTGATCATAGTGTTCCATCGAGTTCTCTCTGTTATTTTTGTGCTGCACATGGTTTCTAATTTTCTTAGCGATTCTTTGTTTTATCTGTTTAGGTTTGATCTTTATTGTTAGCCGTGTGATGTCGGTTCTCTCAGTGTATGCATGAAAGCTTATGCTTATCAGGTATAGTCTTTATGAAGGATTAGATTTGCTGCCCTTATCTATTTATACAATCTGTTTACTTGTAAGATTGGAAAATATCTTGTAGGATTTCATATTTTAAGCTACAAAGTAGCCATGTGGACTATGAGAGGCATAGTTAAGGTTTGTAAAGGTTAATTGTATCGTAGGTTCGTTTACTTTATAACTATGCCCTTTTGACATTCTCTGCTGAATCTGGGTTTTACATATTGAAGGCCCTTTGGATGAGTATCAGGACTAACATCTGTTTGCTAGTATTGAGTTACATGATCCCCTGGACCATCCTTTAACAGCTCAATTTAGTCGGGCCTTTGACACATTTTACCTGCCCTGACTCTTCTTAGGTGTTGTTTACGGCTAAGTTTGCCGAGTTTAGCTTTATATACCAAAGTACATGGTCTGGTCATCTCAGTCACATGTGGAACGTGAGGCCTTTGATTACCAATAGCCACATTTGGAGAGGTAAACCTCTCTTTTGTGATGTCCATTCTTCCAAATGACTGCATACTAACTTTGAAGGTCTTTTTTTCTCTTCTTATGGCTTATACTCCATGTTGGGTGCAATATTCCATGGAATCAGAATGTGCCAGCAAACCGTTTAAGTGGTTTAGGTTATTTTTGATGCATAGTTTGAACACTTATTTTTGTATTAAGTCTTTTTTTTTTTACAAAAACTATTCAGTTTTAAAGTGATAAAATATTAATATTTTAGTTTAATAAGATTCAACCCTACTATCCTAATTCATAACATCACTAGATGAAAACAATAAACCAGTGTACATATCCCACAACAAATAATCGTTCACGAATCTTGTGGTTTCTTAATCAAAACTAACAAAGTTACCGCCATTCCCTCTTCCTTCTTATATCATCTCTCTACAACCCTCTCTTCATCAAACTTCATCTTTCCTTTCTCTTTTCTCTTCCCTTGCTTCTCAAGAAAAAAACAATCCACCCCTTTCTCTATTTGATTAAAAGTTACCTTGTTCGCATGCTTTCTCGATCATTCATCAAAAGTGACAGCAAATTACACCATGTCTGGCAAGATCAAAGGCATCTACAAAGGTTTCAAGTCCATTTCCCACATCTTTGGTAATACTCTTTTTTTTTTCTCTCTTTAAACATACAACAAATATGAAATGTATTGTATTTGAACACTACATCAAAATATGTTTTTTGCGGCCTTTTTTTAGTTATATAGCGGTTTTTTTAAGCGTCGCTAAAAACCCTTATCGCGTAAAAGCAAAAGCTGCAAAAAGCACAGTTGAAACGAACACCGCAAAAGTTTGCGGCGTTTGTGAACGTCAAACGCTGCTAAAAGTTATGATTTTTAGCGGCATTTTTTTACAAACAACGCTAAAGGTTATGATCTTTAGCGGTTTTAAGAAAACAACACTATTTATATTTTCTTTAGTGGCGTTTGTTCCTAAAAATGCCGCTAAATGTTCTTACATATAGTGATGTTTGTGAACGTAAAACGCCGATACTGACTATATATTTAGTGGCGTTTTATTATACAAATGCCACTAATTAGAACTGATTTTTCAAATGATGTTTTATGCTCTTTTATTTCCAAAATTTAAAATTTCAACCTGTAGCATTATCCAACAAACTTGAAATTCATAATAATAAATCATAGTTTACATTAAAGTGAAATATAATGTAGTTCAACATTGTTAGCTAGAATAAACAAAACATATATCTAAAATAACACCAAAGATCCAACACCTCTCGATTAATCATTATTTGTTTATTCCTCCTCTTGAGAAGCTCGAACAATCCGCAATTCACTTAATTTTCTCTTGGGCATAATATCTGCAACAAACAAACAACAATTTTAGTGAAAATATTACTATTAATGAATATATTGAATGGCAACATGTTATAAGTTATAATATTATAAATAAATCAATTAAGATATAAAATCTTACTATATAAATTCTCCTTGCCATCCGTTTCTGATTTCTCATAGAGCACTTGTCTAGACTATTTTTCAGAGAGTCGGCCTCTTCAGCTACTTGTTCAACTTTTCTGTTTGCCAAATATAAATAACCTCAAGGTGTAAGACAATAAAACTAATATGATTTACAATAACATCGGGCATGGTAATCGAAAATCATCAAATCAGCTCTACCTCTTTTCAAATTTCACCAAAGCAAGGCACACCTCTTAACCAAGTAAAGAAAAATTCTAACAATGCATGTTTTGACATGTTTTTAACCAGTATGTGGTAAGCAGTTGTGACTTGTGAGTGACATTAGGTATAGAGTCAACATATTTTCCGGTTTGTGGTAACCAGATTGCACTGATGGGACCAAAGTTGAGAAATATATATACGTACACACACACACACATTTTCCAGATTTTTAGGTCATTACTAGCTTAGAAGGAATAATCAGTCGGTGTTGCTCAATTATTAAGGAATAACGAGTCAGTGTTGCTCAATTTGTTCCTATTCCCTTCAGTTTACTCGCTTGGTCAGTTTACAAATACAAAATATAAGCCACTTCTAACTCACATTTGTTTCTATGCGGATTACAAAAGTTCAAACATACCAGGAAAGCTTTTTTTCTTGGCAGTTGGCACAGAGTAATAGTGGTCATGTCCATGACAGAGATCTTTAGAAGTCACCTCATGATAAGCTACTTATCATGAAGACGAGCATTTGGAGTACACCTAGGATCATCATCGTAAACCCCGTCACCATTTGTGGCTTTCAGTACAACCCCTGCATTGACTGGGCCAAAAAATAGAACATTAATTTTATTTCAAACAATAGCATTATGTTGGCATTAACAGAAACAATAGCGTTATATTGACATTAACAGAAGCTTTACTGAAAAAACAAAAGTTGAACAAAATCCCATTTTAGATCTGTTAACACTATTTCAACAAAATTCATTTGTGCAACAAGACTTATATATAGTACAGTTCAATAGTGTCAGTGGCCTTGGATATATTTCATCCTACGTCAATATACCTTCTGGAAAGGGGTGTAAACGGGCAGTGTTGCTCAGTAGCTTCGGGTTTGGCTACAAAAAATTAAACGGGCAGTATTGTTCAATTCAAGTGTAAACGGGCAGTGTTGCTCTAAAACACTCCGTAACTAAAATTAAACTTTCATTAATAAATAGTTCTATGAAACAATGAGGAAATAAACGATCATCGCCAATCAATTATCCAAGACCTAAATCTTTCGAAGATTAAAGGCATTATTGGATCAAATTGAGAAAATAAAGCTAAATAATAAAATCAAATACGGAGAAATGCAAGGAAGAAAATAGCAAAAACACTAGAATATTCATAAACTAGCAAATTATGATGTTGTGATATAAGGTGTTAAATTTACTTCGTTGCGTTTCTATTTTAGAATACAAATGATAATCGAATACTTTGATTAGGGTTGACATTTGTGACATTCCTAGTTCTTAGTGAGCAAGGAAAAATACTCCACATGGGAGCGAAACTTTTATTTTATTACTTGAAACAAGACATGCTAATATTTAGATTAAGAAAGTTGACTCTCATTCAAATGTTTCCTTCTATTGCTTTTTCGTTTCTTGCTTTGACGGTCATGAGTTGTACACTTAATAGCAATAACGCTGACCTTACTCCTCATGATCTTGAGGCAAAATGTACTCTGAGGAAACAGAGGTAAGACAAAGGGAATTCTCCAATCAACCGAATATAGCACAAACAATGGCTCACAGGGATGGAATTTGATTGAGCATCAAGAGTCCATCCATCCATCCAAGCACTCCACTCTTTGAATGTCTCCCACAAATCACCTAGCACGAAATACGGCTGAAATTCTCCGTCACATGTCCTTCACCCTCTTATCGTCCTCTGCCACATCCATATTCAAATATCAATCTCTTTTTTGAAAAATAAAATAAATATACTCAATCTCCAAAAATATATCGCAAATTACACTATAAATAGATTATTTACACAGTTACACAGTCTTCAAGTGATTTTCAGTTTCACTACTCAATAAACAGTCAAACACTCAAATTAAAACATCATATATCTTACTTCAAATTAGAACTCACTCGAAATCTACAACGGAAACTAGCTTAAACCAAACAAACGCAAAAACAATTAAAAAAATTAACAAAAGTATCTTATCATTTTGAGATTGAATGAACCTTAGAGAGATAAAGTGCGGGGACGGAAGGAATGACCGAGTCCAAAAACTGCTCCAAATTACTAAAAGGAGAGATGACCGGCTCTGAAACAGGAACCAAAACCGGTTTACGATGGTCAGTTGAAGCAACACCTTTCTCCGGCTCCCGGTCCACATTAGATTGGGTGACCGTAACGTCGCTTTGAGCCCTCTGTAACTTTGTAGGTAAACTATAAACGGCGGAAACCGGAAAGAAAAGAAGATGAAAAAGGGCTAGGGGTTTTAGGAGATTAAAACTCAAACTTTGCGGTGTTTTCAATTTCAAACGCCACTAATGTGATACCAATTGCAACATTTTATCAAAAACGCCACTAAACGTTAACTCTATTGCGGCGTTTATGAGAACAAACACCACTAATGCACGCTATAATTACGACGTTTATTACACAAACGCCACTACAACACGTCATATTTTTGGCGGCATTCGTCAAAAAAGCCACAATATATGTACCCTTTTGTGGTGTTTGTCGAAAAAAACCACTAAAGTACTAGGTTTTAGCGGCGTTTGTCTAAAAACGTCAAGATATATGTACCCTATTGCGGCGTTTGTTTAAAAGCGCCACTAAAGAACTATTTTGTTGCGGTGTTTGTTTAGAAATTCCACTAAAGTAAGATTCTCTAGCGTCGCTTGTTTAAAAACAACACTAAAGTACTATCTTAGCGGCGTTTGTCAAATAAACGCCACTAAAGTATGATTTTTAGTGGCGTTTGTTGAAAAACGCCGTGACTAACGCCGTTATATACCTATTTTCCTGTAGTGGAACATGTTTTTTCTGGGTTGGTTTTGATTGTAGCCGTGAAGGAGCGAGAAATGGAAATTGGGAACCCCACAGATATTAAACATGTGGCACACATTGGTTGTGATCACTCTTCCACCATTGCTCCCAGTTGGGTATGTTCAACATTTTGATTCAAAAACCACAATTTGTGTAGACCAAACTGTGTTGTGTCCATCTCTTAATTGTTAAACTTGGCCTGGATTTGTATACAGATGAATGAATTCAAGACTGGTCCCGGTGAAACAACAAAATCAACCGGGAAAACCAGAGTTTCTCATCCTACAACTCTTTCAACACCCTCCTCTCATCAATCAATGGAGTCTAAAGCAACCATAGAGATGAAGAGAAACCGGTCTTGCATGGATCTTCCCAATGTTACGATGAAACGAAAAAGAAGAAAGAAGAGCACTTCCATTGCCGAGTCTTCTTCCACGAAATCTCAACGACGATTATCGAAGACGAATGCAACATCCTTGGAAATATAGACATCATCATGCATGATTACTTCTTATTAATATATTTAAGATATTCATGAAGAACAAAGAAACTTGGAATTAATTTCAATAAAACTTGTATAAATTAGAGTTACTATGTAATTTAAAAATATATCTGAACCTGAAATCAAATTCGAAGGATGCGAGACTTGTCTACATGAAACAGAAGGTAGCTGGTTTTATGCAAGAAAGTTGTATTTCATTTGGTTGGTAAACTTATACTAATTCGGATGATTGGATTCCGATTAAGCTTGTAAAGGAATCTAATTATTTTATGGATGAAAATAATAAATTTCTTTGATATTTAAGTATCTTATTCTTTATTTATTAATTTATAAATATATATATATATATATATATATAATTTAAGATATTTTAAAAGAATCAAATTTCATATTGTTTTAAAAGAAATCATGAAAGTTTTGTTTACAAGTCATTATTTAATTTATACGAGTTAAGTTGAAGTGTTAAACTCGTGTCGTATGCATACGAATCGAGTCAAATTTTTATATAATACTTTTATTTTATTGATTTTGTAAAAGAATCCGAGAATAGTAAATGATTTCATTGATCACTTTTGTTATTGTAAAAGAAAAAACCGTAGCGAATGTCGATAATTATGTCAAAGTTGTTATCAGTTACCTGTAATTTTGTTAAAATCATTCTTATTTGTCGATCATAATAAAAACTTTTTTATTTCCCTAATTAATTCAACCCCATTCCCAAATCTCTATTGTTAGAATATTTCAACCTGAGGATGCATTGAACATGATCTCTGTTTCCAGCTTTAACTATCTAAATGAAATTAAAGTGAAAATTTCCTTGCCCTGCTTAAGCTGGTAAAACTGTTATTGTAGTAAAATTTCCCTTCGCCCCCCTTTACTTTGGATACTTTTTCTGTTAGTCCCAAATATTCTAAATATTTCTAATTAATAGTTATAAAACTACATTTTAACCTTAGTAAGAATTTATTATTCAGTCCCCATCTCTAGATAAACTTTCCTAACTTCACCTAATTTAGAAGATATTTTTGCCCCAAAAAGTGTAGGGCTGACTTAAAGTCAAGCAGTACACACCACCCGTACTTGAAAGAGTGGATGAAAATAGATCATTTTAAACAGAACAAATACTTACCAAAACTTGCCTCCATTCCCGAAACACATTATGGGAAAACAGTACTAATTGGGCAAGGCAGCCTCATAATTCTCACTCCCTTCGAAATTCGACAAAACATCTCATAATAAGTCCCTTCAAAGATTCAATTAAACTCGTATTTGTCACGTAACATACGATGATTATACATTGAAACATGTTCAATGTAGCATGCATTCCTCAACTCGAAACATTCCAACGGTAATAGCGACAACTTCTCCGTTTTCGGTTTATAGCATCAATTCGGTTTCGAGATTTCAAATCGAGAACTTCTTTTAGCCAGTACATAAAACATAGTTGTTGATTCATCAAAATAGTTGTCATTGGTAATAAAGGAAGTTGGTGTGTTTCTTTCAGTAATCTTTATGAAACCTATACTCGAGCATTGATTGAAGTATGGTGTGCACATTTATTTGGACTCAATTATATCGTTCAACCTCCAGAACTGGTCCATTTATATACGATCGAAGATATGTGATTAGGACATTGATGATCTGATTACGGGACCAAACTCTTAGCCAAAGTGAGCTCTGGTGAAGCTAATCAATATTTTCAAGTGATCTTCGATTCTAGAATCAGTGACTGTTGCCAAGTACTTTTTACAGTTATTTCTCAATATCCATTTAGCTTAAATATGAGTGGAAATGAATCGAGTTTGAATAAATAAAATTATGTTTTTATTTATTTATTTTAGAAGATGTACATGTTCGTTTAAATTTTCAATATTATATTTTTGCTCGTTTATTTATTTTTTAAGGTGTTCGTTTGTTTAGTGTTTGCAAACATGTTTGTTTAATGTTTAAAAACATATTTGTTTGATGTTTGACAACTAACACTCTCCTTTTTAGTCTTTTATTTGCAAGCCGGAAAAAATGATGAAATTACCTCACTAGTCATTAAGTTAATTAGGCTTCACAATTTGAACTTCAAAGTTCACTTTACGTTCAATTTATTTCGTATTTTTCACCAATATTTAAAATAAAACAAAGGAAAAAGAGAACCGAGTAAACGAGCCAATATATAAGCTTATAAATGAGTCGATAAACAAGCTTGTTCGTAAACATAAACGAGCAGAACATAATTATATTTTGTGTTCGTTTGTTTATTAAATGAATATAAAAAATTTATTCGTACTCATTTTTTAGCTTAATAAATAAATATAAACAAATGATATACCAACGGTTAATAAAATGTTATGTTTATTTACTCCCCTTCTTGTAAAGCTTACATAATGGGTAAAGAAAGCAATTAACTAAACCTTTCCAAGAATAACATCAAAACTATGCATACTTAAGACAAATAATTATTACATTGTCATGTAAAAAACATATACTTAATTGTGAACCCTTCTAAGTTATCATAATTTGGTATTTAAAAGTTTAAAATCAATTGTATGCTAGATAAAGATGATTATAGTCTTAAAAGTAGAAAAATTAATATCATTTATATTAATAACTTCTATGAAATTTTAAAATTATATATAATTATCCTATTATTTATTCATATATTATCATAGTGTCCAAAACTTTCTTACAATATTTTAAAAAATAAAAAAAATTATAATTAATGATATAATTTTATTTTTAAGTTAACCTAATATATTTTAATAAAACTAATTATCTTTATTCTTACAATGAATTTGAACTTTATTGTAATTCACATATAATAATTGTTTTATCACATGATTCTTTTATCACACCATTGATTTTTCTAAAATAATTATTGTAATGGAAGAGAGAGGATACAAAATATAGAATATATAAATCAATTAAGTTACTTCACTGATAAAAAGTGTTGTTTTTTATAGAAAATTTGAATTTGAGTACATGTGGGTGTGCATTATCGATGACTAAAAAAGATTTTAAATAAATGTTTTATTATAATCAGTTAAAGTATTCAATAAAATATATAATATTATACTTTTCTTCGAGAATCATTTTAAAGTTCATGTCTAATAAAAAATATTAGAAAAAGTATGGAAGTTAATATATGTTACAATATAGTGTGGTAGCTAATATTAAAGAACTATCCAAACAAAATTAAAGCAAAACCTATGGAAAATGACAATAATTTAGTGTTTTTTGAGCTGTTGGTTTTTCCTTTCATTGTCGTAATTAATGTATACATATATATGTCTAAGGAAGAGACAGGACTGAATTTTGTTTTAAAATTATGAGATTTGCACCATAGATTTTGGTAGGCCAAGCCAATGTAATGGATGCATACGTATGCATGTATCGACATTATTATACATATATAATGCTTCTGAAATCTGCAAATGCAGAACAGTCTGTACTTTTCAGACTCATCCTGTACTCTTCAGACTCAGCCTGTACTCTTCAGACTCAGCCTGTATAAACTGTATATATATATATGCATGGTTATTAGAAAAAAAACCTATGGATATTGAAGCTGGGGTGAAAACCTTGTTGAAAGCTTTGGAAAGTAAATTTAAACAAAGGGAAGGGAAGATGCTTTTTTCTATATCACTAATAATTAAAGCTCTCACCCACCACTAATGCTCTGCAATTAACTCCTTGGCTGCCACATCCTCTCCAGCTGCTTCATCAATTCTCTTCATTTTTCTTCTCTACCATTGTCCTCTCTCTTGGTAGTAGGTTTCTGCCAAAAACCACCGTGGCCGTGGGATTTTTCCAGTGACCCCAAACTCTTAAAGACCCTCCTTTTTCATTAATCTTTCTCAACAAATGCTCAAAAGGGTTTCCTTTGTTGACAACATTTTCCCCCATTCTCTCTTTCATATAGCATTTGGTTATATAATATTCTGCTAACTTAAAGAGAGCGTACAAAATCAGTGTTTAGACATTTCAAATCAACCCTAATAAGGAATCCGAATCCTAGAATCTAACAAGCAAGAAGGGAGACAGATATCTGCAACTTGTACGGCTGCTGGTGGTTAGGGTTTCAAAAGTCATCGGTTGTCTATGTTTCCCAACATGATGTTTCCAATGACCGACTCGCCATTGCATTTAAGACAAGAAGGTGGTTGCTCTATGCTCTCAGTCGTCTTCTCCAATAATCTTTAAGGTAATTTTTTTTGCTGCTCTTTTCTCCTAGTTTCTTTCACTTCGTCCATGGGGATAGAAAGAATAGCCTGATTTAAGAAATCAATGGTTTTTTTTAGGGTTTGACTATTAGGTTATTTGAAGAAAGATCCTTCTCTGGATAAGCGAATTTTGGTATATGGATTACAGCTCCATGGTTTACTTGCTATTTTTTTTTTTAAAGTTTGTACCTTCCATTATTAAGCACCGGTTTTGACTTTGTTTATCTTCCTTCTAGACCTTTTTTATACTTTGTTCTTAGTTGTTTTGTTTTCTTCTTCTACCTTTATTATTCCTTTTCGCTGTTCTACTGTTTTTTTTCCTCCCGTTATTTTACTCATCTTGTCTTGGCAGAACTCATAAGCTGAAGCTCCATAGGCTATATTTGAGCATTTCGTTAGCATGTTTAGCCCCAACTTATTCGAGAGTTCCCATATGTTCGACATGACTCATAAGAATTCTGAGAGTGAACTAATGGGGAATATCAGGGATGATGATTATGAGATCATATCTGGTACTGAAGCTATGGATGCTCCCTCGGGTGATGATCAAGATCCTAACCAACGCCCCAGAAAGAAGCGTTATCATCGTCATACTCAGCGTCAAATCGAGCAGATGGAAGCGTAAGTCTTTTTTTTTTTTTTTTGCCATTGTTCATCTTTACAGAATGAATTATTTTTGTAATTTTGAGACTTTGTTGCTCAGATTCTTTAAGGAGTGCCCTCACCCCGATGATAAGCGAAGGAAAGAGCTTAGCCGCGAGCTAGGGTTAGA